CTTCAGAAAATGTTTTCTGAAGAAGGGTCTAGGCCCGAAACGTCAGCCTTCCTGCTCCTCTGATGCTGCTTGGCCTGCTGTGTTCATCCAGCTCTACACCTTGTTATCTCAGATTCTCCAGCATCTGCAGTTCCTACTATCTCTGAAACAGATTTAAATTCAGTTGGCTTTCAATCGCTAAGTGTTTGGTTTAAATTAATTGGCTAATTCCAGCTAATTGCCAAAACATCAAAACAAGCCTAAGGTTTCCAATCACACAGCCAGTTAATACATGTTTCAATCTCAGAATTGGCTGTACATCTTCAGCTACATACAGACATTATTTTTCTGTATAAACCACGCACTCTTCTCCCTTAGAATTTGTTTGAAAAAAATTGATACCTTCCTGCCTTCCAATTCACGATTACTGTACACAACTCCGTAACACAGATTTTGGAACAGAGCCACTGACTGCATGATGGGCCAGAGGTATAAGCAGCAGGAATTTCTACATGTTGGGGAGGAGCAAGGCAATCAAGGAATTTATTCAATGGAGACATGGTCGGATGTAAGAGAGCCTGAGTAGGTCCCAAAAACATGGATTGTACCCCGATGCTTTCGACAATAATGTGATCTAAACGCTATTTGTCTAGCCAACGGAGCTCTGTACCAACATTAGTATTGCAGATATTTTGAGGTCTTTTATTACATTTTGAGAGTATTTTGAATATTCTAAAATCTGTGCCTGTCATCTTGCCATTGCACATGTGCATCTTTGACCTCTTCGAGTAAATGCTGCATTTTAATTTTTTCTCCTTTTAATCTTCTGAACCATACTGTGCAGTGCATAAATGTTTCATGGTTCTTCATGCTATTAATGCAGACTATGCAAAAGCTTGGCTGTAAAGAAGCAATGATATAGTAGTAATGTTGCTGGACTGTAATCTGTGGGGCTTGGGCAAATGATCTAGTGATATGGATTCAAATCCCACAGCAGCATCTGGTAAAATTCAAGTTCCATTACTAAATCTGGAACTTAAAGCTAGGGTATAATAGTGATCATGATAGCTATCCTTTGGTGGTTGTAAAAGAAAAACATTTGATTCACTAATGTCTTTTACGGAAGGAAATCTGCCATCCTTGCCGAGCCTTGATGTAACGACAGATCCACTGCAATTACTAAACTGGCCTCAGAAATGGCCTAGCAAGCCACTCAGTTCAAGGGCAATTAGGGATGGCCAACAAATGCTAGCCTTCCTTGTGACACCCAAATTTCATGTAAGTATAAGGAAATGCAAGATACTGACCTACAGTTCTTGTGCTATACCTTCCACCTAAAAATAAAAACAATATTGAGGAGGGACACAACAAGTTCTCAGAATCTGGAAGAAAAATCTTGACGAATGTTTTGGGTTTTTGAAAACAAAGCAGACTTTGAGGCTTGGCTAAAGTGAGGATCAAAAATGGAAGATGGAAAGTGACTTGAACTGAAATGAAGATTGATTTATTATATTCAAGATAGCTGTTAAGCCCTGTTGTGCTCGTGGAGATGATTTGTAGCTTATTGGGAAAAACTTTGGATGGCTAGATTTGGAGTAAGGATTGTTGTTCTGTGCTTTTTGATTAATCCATTTTATTCCATGAAGGTTTTATTCCATAAAGCCAAAAAAATCAGTCGTTGTCTTGTTTCTTTCCCATGTCCTAATAAGTGCTGCGAGTATGATCGATGTCTTTGCTGTTTTTCTTTCTTACATTTAAGAAAAATATTAGAAATGTTTTCTGAGGGTAAATTGACAAGGAGATAATACAGAGCAGTGCATATCACTGCAACTTTAATGCACTTCCAAGCCTGGTGTTTTTAAATATTTAAAGTTTGTGCTTTAATCAGTAATGCTGATGATGGTAGACTTTGATGCTTGCCCTTTGAGTGTCTTCAAAAATATTTACTTTACTCTTGTTCAGGTATGAAATGCCAGAGATTGCCTTGAAATGTGGAATCATGCTGAGAGAATGCATCAGACATGAACCGCTTGCCAAAATAATCCTTTATTCAGAGCATTTTAGAGATTTCTTCAAGTATGTGGAAATGTCAACATTTGACATTGCCTCAGATGCCTTTGCTACATTTAAGGTAAATTATTTCACTGAACAGTTTCATTAACTTTATTTTAATTTTTAGTTTAAGTGTATATTCTTTACTAGTGCTGTTGCATCGCAGATGTTTTACATACAAACTTGTTTGCTCCTGCTTGCATGGGATTAATTTTGTTGTTATCATTTGCAACACTTCTAGAGTGGGCACAGCTATTTGAATTTGTACATCTCTAAAATATTAATTTACTGAGTTGGAATTTTAAAACATGTATTTCAGGCCTTTGTTTTTATAAGACTATCACCTGAACACACAATTTAGGTGCACAAGTAGGCAATTCAGCCCTTCAGTCCTGCTCTGACATTTGTTAAGATCATGCCTGAAGCCCTTGTGGCCTCAACTCCATATTCCCACTTTCTAGCTGATAGCCTTTGACTCCCTTGTTGGTCAAGAATTTACTTTGCTCTGCTTTAAAAATATTCATAGAATCTTCCTACACTATTCTTTGAGGAATGGAATTCTGAAGACTCTTGACTTGAGAGTCTATGAACCAGGATAGCCTGGTCCCTCTGTACCTCTTCAGAATTCACATGACACCAGGTTATTTGATATCATAAGCTTTTGAAGCGCTGCCCCTTCATCAGGTGAAGTGGGTGTATTCTCAACATTCAGGAAGCTTGATGCAATCCAAGATAAACTAGTAACCACTTGATTGGCACCACGTCCTCAAGCATCTACTCCCTCCACCTCTGATACTGAGTAGCAACAGTTTGCACTATCTACAAGATGCACCATGGAAATTTACTAAAGCTCCTTAGACAGTACCAAATGACAACTACCGTTCAGAAGAATGAGAGCAACAGGTACATGGGAGCACTGCCACCTGCGTGTGCCCGCCCACTACCCCCCCCCCCCCCAAAGCCACTCACCAAAATGACTTGAAAGTGTATTGTCATTTGTCCAATGTCACTGGGTCAGAATCATCAAACTCACTCCCGAACAACATTGAGTGTCTAGCCTGCACCATCGGACTGCAAGTGTTCGTGAAGGCAGCTCACTGCAGCTTCTTGATGACGAATGATGTGCAATAAATATTGATTTGACCAGCAAAGCCCATGTCCCATAAATGAATTTATTAAAAAAAGAATGAGTTCCTCATCCCTGGAAGCAATCTTCTAAAACGTTTCAGTACCTCCTCTTGTGCCTCCACATCCTTCCTGAAGGGTTATGCAAAACTGGATAGAAAAATCCAGTTGTGGCTGAATCAGTGTTTTTGTCTAGGTTTATCATAACTTTCTTGCCTGGGTACTTTATATTGTGATTTACAGCAGTGAATCCTGTCTGATTTATTCACTGCTTTTTCAACCTGTTCTGCCACATGATTGATTTGTTTACATTTACCCTCAATTTCCTCCGCCCCTGTAACCCCACTAGAATTGTACCATTGATTTATTGGCCCTCCTCAGTCTTACTACCAATTTGCACTTTTCTGCACTAAATTACATTTGTTACTTGTCCATCCATTTTACTAGCCCATGTTCGTTTAAAAGTCTACATATTTTATGGCAAAGCCCATTATGTGACTCTTTGTCAAATGCCCTTTGGCAGTCCATGTATACCACTTCAACACTGACTGACTTGCTTCAGATTTTGGTAACCAGGTAACGAACATAATTTTCATGTGAAAGTTAATGCTGTGCGTTCAGATGATGTCATTGAGTGTGCAGCCTGTAGAAAAGCAATAGGAGAGGCCCTAAAGATGGATCTTTGAGGTATGCTAGGGGTAATTATTGTCAGAACAGGAAGTCCAGCCATTACCTGCGATTCTCCGGCTACCATTTGCTGGCTGAGGGATTGAACTAGACGAGAGCAGTCCCACCAGCTGGATGACACCGAGATGTTGGGGGAGAAGGACGTGGTTCACCATGTCACATGCTGTGGACAAGTCAAATAGGATGAGAAAGGAAAGTTGACCTTTGTTGCAGTTTCACAGGATGTCATTTGTGCACGCAGAACAAAGCAGCATGGCAGAGGCGCTTGATCAGATAGTCTCACTCTTTGAGGCAAGGACGTCCCTATTTCCTTAGCCATCAATGCGCATTCCTCTCCTGGGTAACTGTCTGAAGCCAAGCTGAACCTTGGTGCTTTAATCGACTTCGAAGTGTCCTTCCAACAATATGTACACCATTACTAAGTCTACCTGTTACCATTTCTTTGATGCTTCTGCCTCAGCTCATCTGCAGAAATCCTCATTTATGTCCTTGTTGCCTGTAGAATTGACTACTCCACCACACTCTCAGCTAGCTTCCCATATTTTATCTGTTTAAGCATAATGTTGCTTAAACTCTGTAGGTAGCTTAATTCAAATCATTCCATGTTCACCTGTCACCCTGGTGCCCACTGAGTCAAACTGGCTTCCAGTTCCTAAATATCTGTATTCAACTAATCCTCATCTCAGGGCACGGTGGCTCAGCTGTTAGCACTGCTGCCTCACCCCTCCACAGACCTGGGTTCAATTCCAGCCTCAGGCGACTGTCTGTATGGAGTTTGCACATTCTCCCTGTGTCTGCGTAGGTTTCCTCCAGGTGCTCCAGTTTTTTCCCCACAGTCCAAAGATGTGCAGGTTAGGTGGATTGGCCGTGCTAAATTGCCCGTAGTGTCCAGGGATGTGTAGCTTAAGTGGATTAATCATGGGAAATACTGGGTCATGGGGATAGGTTAGGGGAGTGAGTCTGGATGGAATGCTCTTCGGAGAGTCGGTGTGGAATTGTTGGGCCGAATGGCCTGTTTTCACACTGTAGGGATTCTGTTGTTCTTAACAATCTCCAATTAATCATTCCATCAATGGTAACCATGCTTTCTGCTGCAAAGACTCTAAATTCTGCAATTCCCTTAAAAATTCTCAGTTTCTCTTCCCTCCTCTTCCTTTAACACATGATGCCCATGTTTCACAAGAGAATTTAAAAAAAAAACACTCTTAAAGCTTTGATCTTTGAATCGCCACTCTACTATCTTGGATGATTTCCTTTTTAACTTTTTTTATAGGGCTCCTGTGAAATAGCTTTGTCTATGTGTAACTACCTTGATTTGCTGATATAAATGCAAGTTATTTTTTGTAAATGTATTCAATACTAATTGGATTAAAGAGCATTAACACACCAGCTTAATAGACTTTGAGTTGTGAAATACATTTATTCCTGAATTTAAAGTTCAATGTCTACAATTTTTATCACAGGATTTACTCACTAGACATAAAGTCATGTGTGGACAGTTCTTAGAACAGAACTATGAACTTGTAAGTAAGCAAAAATCATTTTGGTATTGGTTTTAAAATTCCTGTGCATTTTAACATTTACTTTGTGTTTAGTGAACTTTTAAAATGGAATTTGGAACTTTTCTTTCAAGGTATTTAATGACTATGAGAAGTTGTTGCATTCAGAAAATTACGTGACAAAAAGGCAGTCTTTAAAGGTAACACACAATTAAATCAAATTTATTTTTTATTTTAATACTTACAAGTATTTGTCCACATTTGTCAAGTTACATAATTTACACTTCCTTCTGTTTAAAGGGACTCCAAATTTTAGGGTGTTTTACATTGGTAGTAGACTGTTAAGATGACTTTGTATTTGAACATACAGCTGGACTGCTGATTTGCAATGCAGACTGACATGCAAACAACGTTAAGTTTAATTCTCGTACAGGTTGAGGTTATCGTAAAGATGGTATCTTCTCAACCTTGCAGCTGCAGTTGTAGGTGAGATCAGTGAAGATCTATAGCCAAAGATGATCTTTGGCTTAAAAACAAAGAGGGGCCAGTAGAGGTTGCTAAAGCAGCAATGGGGCCTTGTGTGGGATAGGGTGCAATGACTGAGAGGCGCTGCGAAGCAGCATGATGGCTCAGTGGTTAGCACTGCTGCCTCACAGTGCCAGGGACCTGGGTTAATTCCAGCCTTGGGCGACTGTCTGTTTGGAGTTTGCACATTCTCCGTGTCTGTGTGGGTTTCCTCTGGGTGCCCCGGTTTCCTCCCACAGCCCAAAGTTGTGCAGAATAGGTGGATTGGCCATGCTAAATTGCCCAAAGTGTCCAGGGTAGGAGGCGGGCCTGAGTTGGATGCTCTTCAGAGGGTCGGTATGGGCTGAATGGCCTGCTTGCACACTGTATGACTGGATGGAGACATGTCCTTCAAAGTCACTCACGGTAGGAGTGTCAATAAGTATGGTCATGGTGTATTACTGTTCTTTAACTTCTCACTGACATTCAATTTAAGTTCATTTTGATTAAATTGAGATTTATATAGGGCTGTTTATGTTCTATATTTTATATTGTGACTGGATCATTCTAGTCTTTGAATAATACTTGCATGGTATTGCATATTGGAAGTTAATATCCTGTGTCATTTCCAGAGAAGAGTCTAAAGAAACTGAATTAAAAACAAGCTGCTGGAGAAACTGATGGCATCTGTGGAGTGACAGAGTTAACATTTCAAATGTTCTTTGGCACTGAAGAGGGCTGGAGAAGCAATGGGTTTTACGTTGTGGAAAGGGTGATGGAGGGAGCAAGTGGAACAGATCGTAAAGGTGTACCAGAGCAAAAGGCAGAGGGAGTAAAATGCGGTGAAGGTGGGGTAAGGTGTTAGTAGCAAAAATGGATCAGTTGTACTGAGAGCAAACACCAGCAAACAGACATGGGTGGATGGGAGGAATCAAAATGGATGAGAAACTGAAATTATTTTCCTTACATTAGAGAATAAATGGTTTAAAGGAAATCTGATTTGAAATTTTCAAAATCGTAGAAGGTTCTGTTAAAGTAAATGAGTAGAAACTGTTTCCAGCAGTAGACAAGTCAGATATTACTGCAGTAAATCATAAGCAAAAGCATCAGAGGTGATAGGAGACAGTAAAGAAAACTCATGCAGAGAGTTGAAATGATCTATCTCTGAGGATGGTGGAAGCAAATTCAGTGATGACTTTCAAAAGAGAATTTAATGATGACTTGTAAAGGAGAAAAGAATCAGAGTTACAGGGAAATACAGGCGAACTGGACTAATTGAACGGCTTTCAAAGAATTGGCACAGCAAGCAAAATTGCCTCTTTCACTGCCATACCATTCCATAATTTATTCCTATGAAGCAGGGTTGGAGACCATGATATAATTACATCAGGGCATGCTGTAGTATCAATTTTATGTCCACGTTTAGAATGGAATCCTCCTGTCTGTCTGTCTGCCTGCATCCCCAGTAGGGATGGTGTAATTGTAGAATGACAAGTTGAGAGTTTTTACTGAAATAAGAATTTATGTGGATGATTTTAATCAAATGATAGATGCTTCTTCAGGCAATGAAATGTAATAACAGCCAATATTTTAGTGAATGTGTGATGACCTTCTGCACAACTATTGTGTGTCAAAACATTGTTGGTGTTTTGGTTATTAAATACCCTACATTCCTAGAAATTGGAGTTTAGACTAGAGAGGATCTTTTCTTGGATGAATGCCTTTGCAGAAGAACTGTATAAATATTTCTATATTCTCCCCTTAAGACTGTAATAGTTGAGACTAAAGCAGAGTGGAAGAAAAGTCTATTAGAGAAAATAACTTGGGATTTCTTCTTGGAGAAGTCTGAAACTTTCTAAGAATTAATTATCTGCAAGCATACTACTTAGACCTGTTCATTTCATGTTGTGATTTTCTTCTATCTTCGTTACTCTGAATAAATTTAAAATCCAAACCTTTTGAATTTTGTCCATTTACTTTCCATACACTTACTCTATTGAGACCAGCTCTGTCAAAGTCAGCTTATCATCAATATCTGCTGTATCTATGACTTTAATATATTATCATTCCTTGGCTTCTCGAAGATATTTCATTAAAGCTTCTCTTGCCATCCACCAAACTCCTCTCTTTCGCTGTCCCATTCCTATCTGTCCAGATTACAAGCAATGTCCTTTCCTTCCACTTCTACAAGCTCACTTTCTTTTTCTCATTTAAATATTGTTCTTTGTGAACATTATGTATCAACATGGGTCAGTTTCCATTTGTACATTAACAGTCATTTCTGTCTTCACAGCACCATCTAACAAAATTCTTCCTGTCTGAGGCAGTTAGGAAGCTACAGGGACCCATGATGCAATCAATTAATCAAATCCATTTTTTAAACCATTCGCAATCCATTATCCTGTCATCTCCCCACAACCGTAGAATTGGAGTATCCTGTAAAACACGTGATTCAAAAATCAGTCTTGCAGAGTTTAAGCTTCAAAAGTCTTGCGTGCCTAGAAAGTGCACATTGTTCTCTTAAGATCTGTAATGACCACTGTTCAAACTGTTTCTACGGTTACAGTATTCCGCTTGATTCTCGCCCTTTATGTAAGGAAGTTAATTATATCTGAGATTTATATTTGCCTTTTATCAGTTTTCTATGAATTTGGCCTACAGTTTCTCTTAGTATTTTCTCTTATAATTCTGACATCCAGTTTATAAGTTTCCTTGAGAAGTTTAACCATATCTTAAAATCTGTGTAAGCCACATCCCAGGTACTTCTTCTTTATTCTTTTCTCAAAACTCAGGTAACTAATCCCAGTCATCATCTTGGATACATTCCTTTGCACACCGTCCTCAACACCCAAACTATGAAACAGTGTCCAGAACTGTATACAGCTTTCAAGGACATTGACCAAAGTTTTGACAAAATTATTGCTTGCTGCAGCTCATCATTTTTTTGACTCCTAATATCACCATTTTATTTTTGGCCTGAGCTATTGATAAAAGCATTTTATGTTGCAAGTACGAAATGAGTAAGTTAAGCCTTGAATCTACAAATTTTTGAATTTGTTTTGAATGTGATGCTGTGTTGTGTACTGCCCTTTGACATTTGCTTTTTTTTTCTGTTGCTTGTCAAGCTTGTGGGAGAACTGCTTTTGGACAGGCACAACTTTACAATTATGACAAGGTATATCAGCAAACCTGAAAACCTCAAGCTCATGATGAACCTCCTAAGGGACCAAAGTAGGAATATTCAATTTGAGGCTTTTCATGTATTCAAGGTAAGTTGTTATGATTATTTATTTCCTTTCTTTTAAACGAAGGCTGATGCAGAATAAATGCAATTTAACCACCTGATAGACTTTTTTAAAAAAATCGGTAATTATTTGTTGTTTCAAAAATAATTTTTTTCTTGGATAAATACATCCCTTTTAGTCTAGGTTGAGTATAACTCAACTTGATGAAGGAGGTTGATGGTACTAATAAATAGCCTAATATTTCTTGTTTTAGATTCAATCAGTATGTTTAATTTTATCATTTGAATGCATTCTGTTGAGTTCCTGCAGGTGAGATTCACCCAGCATTAATATTAAGTATTAATAGACTTTAAGTTTGAATCATTATAAAGGTTATTAGTTATAGGACACTAAAGTTTTGCCAACAATAAATTTGTCATGATTCCAGCTATGAGTTGCTGATTAGTTATGTGGGTCTGAAGTTCTGAAATTGCTGTATCTAAACCTTTCTCCCATTTTCACCTCCTTTTCCTTCTTGAAGTGTAACTAAGTATATAGTCACATATCTCCTTTGACTTTGTCAGTTTTTGACTTGGAGTGTACTTCTGAAAAACCTTTAGATGCGTTACTGTATTAAAGACTAAGGTAGTTTTTGCATGGACTAGAAGTAGTCAATCACTGTGGCTTGTTGTTGAGTTAAAGAATAAAGTTATCTTCTAGTGTCAACTGAGCCAGAAAGCCAATGGTTTGATTCACAGTCCATGCTGAGTTACTTTAACCAGCAGTGGGCATCTGTAAGTCTCCGTGTGTCCTTGGACACAGGGATATCTGAGCTTGCACTCTATTTATAAAGCTGAAATTTAGATATAGGTCTTCTGAGGGAGATTGGACTTGAGTGTGAAGTATGTGAATCTTTTCTCTCTCCTCGTCAAGTAACTTCGAGATATCCACTGCCTTGGCCCACGTGGGTGAAATAGCAGAATCATGCCTCAGTAATTGTTAACATCTTAATTGTAACCTTAAAAAAAGTTCTTCTGTTCCATATATGAAGGGAATGCATGGGCTCTTGTGTTTCTTAGAAGTAGGTTTTAGTTTTCACACCTTATCAATTCTGCTGACTCATTATCTCATGTGGGTTAATGAGTTGAGCCATTTTTTTCCTGCCCTTTCAATTATGTTATTTAATCTATGATTATTTCTCTTCAAACTGACTTACATTTGTACTCTAATGTAAAAAGCACCTTAATGTTTCACTAATGTGCCCAGAAAAATGGATGGTAAACTAGAAGGAAGGAGAGCAGGTGAGACTTGAATCCTGGCCTTCTAGCCCAGAGGTGGTATGCTAACACTAACTAACAAAAGTCCCATTTACAGCTGTTCTACAATAAGTAAGATGCAGAACTGCTCCCCGTTAAAGGTTTCATAGGCATTTGTTGGGGTATTCTATTGGTTTTGGTTGAACAGCTCACTGATTGCAAACTCAAATCCCACCCTGGCAGGTTGTGAAATTGAAATGAATATATTTGGTAATTTGTTGATTTATAAACAGGAAAGAAAAATCAGTGCCCTATAAAGGAGGTCACTTGCCACCTCTTCTCTGTCTGGCCTGCACATGCCTTGTCTACAATATGCAACTAATTACTAATTCCCTTGAAGAAATTGCCAAAGATCCGAAAATCGGTCAGAATGGTATATGTTTAGCCTGAAGAGCATTGCCCACATCCTGAGAAGGTTTTTTGGCAGCTCCTTTTTTAAATACAAAAAAGTATCTATTGTTCATTCTGTTTTTTCTGTTTCATTTTAAATTTAAAAATAAAACTTTTGGATGAAGTTTTCAGTCAAGGCCATTTCTCTCTGCTTATGATGAACAACCTCCATGGCACAACTTGAGCAAAGAATACCCCCCACACCTGTCCCCAGCTAGTCCAGCACGCCCCCCCCCCGCCATAACACAGCATATGCATACATGCACCCACCCTCACCACCCTCAACTAATACCGCAAAAGGAGGCAATTAACAAAAAACTTTTCCAATTTGAATTGGACATTTGTCAAGTCCATCCCACTGTTCATGTTCCAAGTCCTTTCTCCAACCTAACCCTCCTTCCTCTAAGCTGATCAGAATCACCTTTTTGTTTCTTTCAATTTCACATCAGTCTAGTTTTTCTTAAAAACATCAATGCTATGTGTCTTGGATAAAAAATACAGTCCAGTAGTGGTCATGTTACAGGATTAGCAATCCAGAGACCCAAACTAATGATCCTAGCAACAGGAGTTCAAATTCACAGCAGATGGAGACATTAAATTTGCTTAATTATAGAATAAATAAATTATTCAATGTATCTGAAATTTTTAAAAAAGTCAGTAATGGTGATTATCATTAAGTAAAAGCATCTGTTTCACTAATTTCCAAATCTTCCATTCTTGCTTGATCTGTTCTACGTGACTCCAGACCCGTAGCAATGTGTTTGATTCTTAACTGCCCTCTGAAATGGCCTAGCAAACCACTTATTTGTGTCATAGCCTTCACCATGCTGACCATAATGGTCCAAGAAGACAGTTCACTAGCACCTTCTCTAGGATAGTTATGGATGGCAAGAAATGCTGCTGTTGCCAGTGATGCCCACTTCCTATGAATGATGTTTTAAAAAATAAATTATCCTACTTGTTAGGAAGTCGTACATTCTCAGCACACTCTGATTAAAGAAGTTCTTTTTTAATTGCTTAGTAATCATGTCTTTTTTTTTGGCTCGAAGCTTTACTTTCCACCAAGTGAAACACATTTCTTTAAAAATGAACCCTGTATTATACGTTGTATTTTTAACCTTATTGCTGGTCTGACATTTATTTTCAGTTTGTAGAGCTTTGTGTATAAATTGACTGCTGCATTAGCTGACACAGTTGCCAGCTATGTGCTTTTTGCATGGGTAGTCAGTATTACATACACTGCACTCTGAACATGAAAGGGCTATGCTATTAGCTGTGCTGTAAGTGGGTGGAAGGAGATAAAATTAAACAAGCTTGCTACATATCAGAGAAAATTGTGGGCATGTTGTGAGTTTGTTTAAATTGCCCCTCATGTCCATCTCTCCCTTTTTCTGGAGCCTCCTCAATACCACCTGCCCCTCAGAGATCCCTACACACTTCCAATGTGGCTGCTTGTGCATTCTTGATGATCACAGTCCCACTGTCGACAGCTGTGCTTTCAGCTGCCAAAGCCTGAAACTGTGGAGCTTTCTGTCTAAACTTCTCTTGCTCTCTACTTCTACAGCTCTCCTCCTTTTAGGTTGTTCATTTAAACCTACCTCTTTAAAATCAAGAACTGTGGGTGCTGGAAGTCTGAAACAAGACCAGTTCTGATGAAGGGTCATTGGACCGAAACGACTCTGCTTTCTGTCTACAGTTGCTGCCAGACTTGCTGAGTTTCTCCTGCAATTTCTGCTTTTGTCTTTGAATAAGTGTTTGGTCACCTGTTTCAACAGCACCTTGGTATGTTTTACTTACATTAAAAGATGCAACAGAAATCCAAGTTTCTGCATAACAGGGTTCCAAGTGGTAAGTTCAGTTTGTGAGAACAGAGTTTGAGGAGAACAACATAATATTGGCGCTCCTAAAGATGCATGCCCATGCTGTCATTAATAACTTTTCATAACCTTTTCTCTGGGTGAAAGGCAAGGTCATAGAAGATTATTCTGCCAAAGCATACCACAGCCCCCTTAACAGAAGTTAGAATTGTGTTCTGTTGACGTGGGCAGTCTATATTTTTGCTTCTGCCAGCAGTGCAGCAAAACAATAAAGCACACTACTGAGTTCCCAGCAGGAACCGAGAAAGTAGCCTGGCTAGGAACTCTGGTCATTCTCTCTGCTAAACTAATTTAGTGTATACTTTAATACACATTTATATAATAGCACAATTGTTCTAGGCAAGCTTTTGGATCAAAAAATTACAACTGAGGGATAATATACTATGTGAAAATTGAATGTATACTTCAGAGGATAGTATTTATCTCTGAAAATATTTAAAGGTAAAATAAGTCCACATTTAGCAGAACTGTACCATTCAAGTCTGTGCCCTTAGTACTCCTGATAAAATTTTAATGCCAGGCTGTTTGTTTATTCATTTATGTAGAAATAATTCTTCCAGCTGTAATACCCAATATTGATTAAAAATTGCTAACAGTTTCTTTTTCACTTCTGTTATAAGGATGTTGCCTTTTTCATTTAGCCTGTAGAAAGACATTTTACAATAAATCTCTAGCTTTTTACTTTTACTGGCTGTGAAACACTTTAGGATGTCCTGAAGCTATGAAATGGTGCTACAGAAATGCAAATTCTTTAAGGAGAAAAATTTATAGAAATCCCAATCCTACAGTCATTCACTATTGACTTTCTACCAAGTTAGTTGTCTATCAGGCATTTACTACATATTGTCTGTGAATTTGACACTTTTCCCTCTGCTTGAAACTGTTACCTTTATATTCCAATAATAGTTTGAATTGTGTTATTAGTATCCTTGCAAGGCCCTCCAACAGTTCAATGAGATAATTACTTATAAATACATCATTTTACTGAGCACTTCACACTACCCCTCTTCCTCACACCCACTGCTTCCCAGGTTTTGTCACTCGTTGCCACAGTTTGATAATTGGTTTGATGACTGTGCATGGGGACATGCTGTGTCTTGTGCAGCATTCTCTGAGGCATCTATAAGAGCTACACTCCTTTAAAGAGATGTGAAATATTAATTTAAAAATTTAGAATTAAGTTAGCAAGGCAGGGTGACGTCAAGAGCATGGCTTGATACCACAATAGGAGAGCTTATTGACAACATAACATTTGGACATCGTGGAATTAACTGCATTTGCCTAATTTGTATGGTTAACTTGTACATTTATCTCTCTCTTTGCACTTTCTAGGTTTTTGTGGCAAATCCCAATAAAACACAACCTATTCTGGACATCCTGTTGAAAAACCAGACCAAACTCATAGAATTCCTCAGTCAGTTTCAAGTAGACAGAACAGATGATGACCAGTTTAATGATGAAAAATCCTACCTGATCAAACAAATCAGGGATTTGAAAAGACCAGCACCTCAACAGTCGTAACACATTTGGTTAGAAGCAGCATCGATGGATGGAGCTTAAACTATTTACCGCACCTGTGTACAATTTGATTACATTTCTTTATAGGGAAGGGATTGTGTAGTAACAGTAACTCACTTCTAATATTTATATGATAAAACTAATTTTATTCATGCATATGTCTTTGAGTGCCTGTATATTAGTTTGTTTTTCCTCCTACACCTATGGCTGTTTGAGTGTTTAGGAGTTTACATACTTGTATGGTAGCAGTGATTCTTTGCCCTGCTTGTTTTAACCTTTTAAGTGACAGTGCCTGGGGTTTTTTAGCGAGCGTTTGATCAGTTGGCAATGGCCTTCATGGCTTTGATCTTGTTTGCTACTGTATTACTATGTAAATTAGTTTTTTTATTTTGAGTACGTTTATCACTATGGATAAGGGAAAGTCTGCAGTGCTGTCTGTTCACAAAGGTAAATGCACAGAGCTTGCTACATTTTAAATGATTCTGACTAGCTTTAAGAATGGGCTTCCTAAATCTCATTGACCTGATCCTGTTGAGAGTTCCCACCCTGCATTAGATTAGAGATCTAAGGTATGTAAGCTTGCTTAATGTCAAGAGCAGACACCCTAAGTCTATCCATGTAAACCTACTCATTTATATTGGTACACAATTTTGATAGTGAACAGGTCAGCATAAAGTGGATAAAGAATGATTGGCGAGTTTTTATGTAGAAATATCCCATCATTTTTTATTTGCTTGGAAGGGGTCAAGCTGTAATTTAATTTTGTGGTTGCACATATTGTTTTTTTTTCCAAAATGTGTAATTGTACATATGTGGTTGCATTCAATAAATACTTGTTACACTGTATGGCTGCTCTGATTGCTCTGATGGTCAGCTCTTCACAATCACAAAAACTGCCTAATTTGAGTACTTTTTAAATAAAAGATATTAAACTTGTGAAAAGCTTAATTAGTTTTTTTTTGTTTTAAATGATTTATGCTTTGTTTGCCAAAATTATTTCACTTGGGTTCACTTTTAAAGGTGGAACGTGAATTCTGTATTATTTTGAGGGGTTATTAACTCATTAAATTGCTAATGATGGTTTTATCACATTTCAAATCGGATGTTTTGGTGAAATTCCTTTTATATTTCCATTACAAGGTTGTGAAACATTGTTTCTTCAGTAATAAGGCTGGTACAATCTAGAGAATACATCCGATTAAATTGTTTATTCCAGTGATGAATAACCATACAAATTTTGTATGGATATGGTTAAAAAAATTAAAAGTAAACATACTAATTTAAGGCTGCACTTCTGGTCCATTGTGGTGCTTTTAAGTTATACGAGAGGATGTTACAATTTTATAAGCAATTGGTGTTGTCTTTCCATTTTAAAGTATTGTTTAATCTTTCATCCATCTCATCCTCCTCCACCACATTTGTTCCCCTCTTTTTTTCTGTTCCCCTCTTTTTTTCTGTTCCATACCCTTCATTGATAATCGGGTGTTTACAATTCATCTTGGTAGTTTGAGAAATTGAATTTTAGTTTTAAGAATTTGGAAATAAAAAATGCTGGTACCATTGAAATAAGTTTGCTATTTGTGACTCCCATCCAACACTGATGTTGTTCACTCTTTACTGGCTTCTTAAAAAAAAAAAGGCTAAACAAGCTCATCATTTACGGCAAAAGGTAGGAAAAATAAATTCGGGCCTCCTTACTGGTGTCCAAGACTTGAGAAAGGAAACTTTTGGTTTTAGTAAATTTGTTGGCTAGGAAAATATGAAAAAGAAATAATAACTTTCCCAGCATTTACCAATAATCTAGGATGTTTGATATTTTATATGGGAAAATAATGGTAGTTAGATCGGATGTTTCCAGTGACATCGGATCAGAAGTTGTCTTCTGGGAATATTTCCGAAGTTTGATTAGAATCAGCTGCTTTTCCAGTTGCATGTGATACTGACTTCTCTGCAATTCATTTAGTTAGCTAAGACTTTTTCAGTTCTTTAAATAGACTAAGTTTCTGTTGATCTGTCTAACTGATTATTACAGTTTGGACTTTTCCCATGTATTATTTCATGTTTACGGCCAACATGAGCAGATTGGTTTTAACCAATAAACTCAATGTATAGTCTTCATTCTAGATCTGGCTTACACTAACTTAATAATTAATTACTGAAGATCATGATGAGCTGCTTACTGGAGAACATACTGATTTCTCACCAAGTTCAGAAGGTGAGAGATTCTACACTTCTGAAGCAAGAGACACAAGCTCTGTTTGCATTCAGCGGTTATTGTGAACACCATTTTCTGTTACACCCATCCGATTTTGTATTGGGTGTCTCCCTGCAAAAGCAATGCTAGGTTTTTCACCTTTTCCCCGTCTTCACAGTTTGAAGTATGTTGAGAAACCCGTATAATTTCCTAGGAAAATCTTCTAATATTAGGTGTGTATTCCCAGTTTTAAATATATTTTCCAAATGAGAGTTATGCGTAATTTTTGTGGTTGCTACAGAACACCCTCTGGTGGCTTCTCTGAGAACAAGAAACAGATGCTGTATAGAATGCTAAGTTAGACTGATAACACAAAGATGTTGTTTAATTTACCACAGCAAAGAGAATTTGCACATGAATGCTGCTTTGATTATGTGAGGATTTCCTACATCTTCACAGTCAATTAAGTACATTTATGATCACTCCATATAGAAAATTATTTTGATTTGATTTATTATTGTCACGTACCTAGGTACAGGGAAAGGTTTTGTTTTGTGTGCAGTACAGGCAGATCGTACCATACAAAGATCATAGGGTGATAGAACAGAGAGAGGAATACAAAGTTTTATGACTGCAAAGAAGGTACACAAAAAGATCAACAGAGGTCCATTCAGAAGTCTGATAACAGCAGGAAAGAAGCCATTGGTCATCTTAAAAAAAAAAATGAACAGCCATTCAACATAATTGTTTTGTGTGCTACTGTTTGCCAGAAACTATTCAAAAAGCCACAGCAAATGTAAAGCATCAATCTCCTGGTTAAAACCATGTCTATGGAGACTGAGTGAGGACAGTGTAAAGCTTTGTATTTCTTTTCATTAGACTTCCTGATAGACAGTAAATGCTAATTATCTTACAAACGATCTTTCTGGCACTAATCATTTCCTTTTGAGGAAGGAAAGTAGGATGTAAAAGATATATAATTTGGAATGTGGCAAATGAATTGTGAATAGCAAGGTCCCACAAATAGGACTGTAATGACCAGATAATTTATTATAGAATATTGAGGAATAAATATTTATCCAGGACAAAAGAGGATTCCATCTGCAACACCCACCCCCTCCCCTCCCCTCCCCAATGCTGCTTCATGAAAATTTTTTGCATCTACCTGAAACAAAAAATGGCTTACTGATTCAGTATCTTATCTAATAGAAGATGCCTCTGACAATGTAGCATTCCAAATGTTGCACAGCCTATCTTGTGTGCTGAGATCTCTGGAGTGCAACATGAACCTCCAATCTCTTGACTCTGTCATAACGGTGCAAGCTACATATTACCCTGATGCAGCTGTATTCCAACTGTATATTTATGGGAGAAGTTAGACAGTAAATGCTATCAGAAAATCTAATGAAAAGAAATACAAAGCTTTGCACTGTCCTCACTCAATCTCCTTGGATGTGGTTTTCACCAAGAAATGGATGCTTATTTGCTGACGCATTTTGAATTATTTTTGGCAAACAGTAACCAACAAAACAATTATGTTGAGTGGCTGTCGATATCTTTTTTATTACCAATGGCTTCTTGAAAACCTAATAATCTCTTGTTGCTTTAGCCTAAATCTAGCTTTGACAGTGAGGTTTTGCCTCTTGTTACACACTCAGAACTCAAAACGAATTATACTTCAGAGACTTTTGGAAATCCTTCCTTTTTTTAATGAATTCATGGCATGTAGTGTTGCGGGCTTTGATAGTATTTACTATTCATCTCTAATTACCCAGAGAGCAGTTAAGAACCACTATATCTGGAGTAACTTGGTGAACCACGTGGGTTTTTAATGACAATTGCCAATGGCAATATGGTCACCAGTAAGTCGGAGGGAGAAACGCTTCTGAAGGGTCTCAATGTTCTGAATGTAGACATTGTCACGGTTGGGGCCAAATTGGGAAGGCCTGAATGTGGACTGTAGTCCATTGGGGATGATCTGGTTCCATAGGCAGGTATTAAGAAAGGTGATGTGGCTGTAGTACCTGGTTTGCTTCAGGACGTGGTCAAGCAGTTTCAAGGCCGAAGAGATT